AAAAAAAAACAACCAAGAAGTCACTAATTGTGATGACTACTGTACCAGAATGAATGCTAAAATGCATGGCCAGGGCTCAGCAGAGACTACTTTTCCTAAATCTAGTGTTCTTGACCTGGAATTGCAGATCTGGTTACAGTGGTGGGTCTAAGGACTATTTTAAGTGGACCTGTAAAAAGGCTGAAGAAAAGCAAGTGTAGCACCAACAGCCTAACAGAAACCATAAGAGAGCAAAACTTCAAACATTTCGTGGATCAAAGGTGGCAAAAAGCACTCCATCAGGGATGAGACTAAAGCAACAGAAAAACCTCCAGCGAGACGGATGAACTAAGAAAACTTTGCTAGGAAACTCAGAAAGCACCTAAAGATGAACTGATTCTTACACCAGCATACCATGTGGGTTCGTATATTGTGTTCCCCACAGAAGGAACATTAGGTGATATACTGAGCAACATGACTAGCATGTCCCCTATATGTTCTTCCTCTGTTCCCCAGAGGAAAAAAAGTGTTGATGTTGCTGCTCTGATGTTAGAGAAGATCAAAGAAATAGTACAAATGATGAACAGAAGATAGGGTCTGTCTCTTTTGAAGAAAGTGTTCTCCCAGGCCAGCAGAGCATCGCTGTCAAGCATGGCCTGCAGCCCACAGTTGACAATGGCATTACAGATGTGATGGAGCCAGGCTGCTCGCTATCCGAACATACACAAGTTCTTTTTTTTTTTAAATTCTACACAGAGGCCATTACACACAGTCTAGAACACACTTAATGCTTCCACAAGAATCAGTAGTTCTCTCTATATTTGCAGCTTTCTTAGCGTTAAAGGCTGCCTGGCCAGACGTGTTCTGTTGCAGAAGTCCAGCTGTGAGCCCTGAGTAACCAGCAAATGACTGGGGCCAACAAGAAACATTTATCTCAAGTAAGAGAACAGAAGGTGGAATGAAAAGCCAAAAGACACAACAGAAACTGGAGGCTAACTAAAAAGACAGGAATGGAGAGTAAACTTTGGTCCTCTGAATAAAGTACTCAAATATACAGGTTTTTGAATCACAGAAGCTGAAGCAGAAGCTCTGTGCAGAAATCTTAGTATAACTTTGTGTATTTATTTCATAAAGTTCTTTACATCTCGAGAACAAGTCATGAGGAGCAGCTGAGGAAGCTGGGGTTGTTCAGCCTGGACAAAAGGAGGCTCAGGCGTGACCTTCTCACTCTCTACAGCTACCTGAAAGGAGGCTGTAGCCAGGTGGGTGTCAGTCTCTTCTCCCACGTAACAAGCGATGAGAGGAAACAGCCTCAAACTGCACCAGGGGAGGTTTAAATTGGATATTATGAAAAGTTTTTTCACAGAAAGGGCTGTCAAGCATTGAACAGCTGCCCAGGGAAGTGGTACAGTCACCATCCCTGTAGGTAGGTAAAAGATATGCAGACGTGGCACTTGGGGACATTGTTTAGTGCTGGACTTGGCAGTGCTAGGTTATTGGTTGGAATCAATGATCTTGGAGGACTTTTTACAACCTAAATAATTATGTGATTCTATGTTTTTGACAAACCTATTTCTGTGAGCTGTCTACATATATGAGACACTCATAAAGGACTTGTTTTCTGTACTCCTGCTTTTGGGCACAGTTTTGGACATTAATCTAAAGCATTACCATCTTGTTTCCTTTTTATTTGTACAATATATAACACAATCAGATACCTCAGTATTATGGTAATGCTATTAATAAATACAGCATCTAAATAATTCTAGTGTAAAGTGGCAAAATACCAGGACTCCCTCAGCATGTCATATCTAGTAGCATTCATCAGCGGGGACAAATGAGTAAAAACTCATGTAAAATCTCAGTTACAGCAATAACCCAGGATCTGCTCTGAAATAATTTAATCAGGACTCAATGTTATTATCACAAAAAAATTATGCCAAACAGTGCAACTGCTTCTTACAACTACAAGCTGCTTGCTCCTCAGGCAGAAATATCCTCATACATCCTTCAAAAGCATGAGTCCCTACCATACCCGAGACTCACAACTCTGTCAAAAAACAATTTGGAGGAAATAAGCTATCTAATGGCACTACAATTCGGAGAGAAGATAAACGCTCAAGTAGGAATTAATTTCTTCTTATGATCAGAAACAAAGATATTATTACAAATCCATGTAGACCCCCAAATGATGCTAATAGTGTGTACTCAAAGTTACGAGTTCACTGGGGAAACCAACATGATTTTTCCTGTTCTCCTCTACAATAACAGAAATATGCTGTTACTCTAACAGAAACATTTGTCCTACTCTCCAGATGCTTACCATATGTCATGCAGCAGAACTCATATTACACTGTTGTCCTTCATCTGCAATGCAGTTTTCTCTCTTCCACCTAACTAACTGGGACAGCAAGAATATTTCTAATAGAGGAGCACACCTTTCACTTCCCCTCAGAGTGTCAACTGCCCTCCTGGAGCAGAGGGTTGTGTTTTATCAAAATCCAGGAGCAGACTTATTTCTACCATATAATGTCAAAAAATCAAGGGAAGTCATTTATTGAAGCTGATACCTTCCTGACAAGCCAGGCAAGCTGTGCTCCTTATCAGCTGGTTCTAAAAATATGTTCTGCTGGACAGGTCAGTGGTCTGTACACTCAGTAGCATTGTGCTGCCTGCTACCACTGGAGTGCCATCAACATTTGCCCTGATCAAAAGGAACACAGAATGCTCAAAGCTATCCTTAAGGTTTACTACTTTGAAAAAGAGTACAGAAGTACTTTTGCAAGCTGTTTATTATGTTGATAACAATACATCATCATAATAATAATGAGCAATCAAGAGTCTTTTGCTGTTAAATATTCCTTTCAAACACTTCCTATGTTGACTGCACTTAGCAAGGGTTTAGTAAGATATGCAATGGTGAATTAAAAATATATTTCTAGGGCCTTCATTAAGATGACATTTTCTTTGTTTGAACACTTCCATTTGTGTATGTGTACACATACACACACAGGTACATACATATAGACTGTGCAGCAATTTGTAGGAGATATCATATTATCCTTCCCCCCATTACCTAAGTTGAGTATATTAAGTTTAAATCAGAGGACTAGAAGGATGTTAAACAACTGAAGGACAAACTAAATAGCAAAGAGGGGAATGGAGGATATTAGGTTAGAGGAACTGATAGAAGCACAGGTGCAGACTCTGCTTTGGATTCTATGGGAAAACTGGTATTGGAGCAAACCCTGGGAAGCAGACTTTATTACTGCTTCTCTGCCCAGCTTGCTGAAGTTCTCTCTCTAGGTTTGATCAGCAAGACATGAGTATAATTTATATTAAAAAAAAAAATCACAGATAGAATACTAAAGGCTTTTCTATTTAGTCCTCCTGAGAATTTTAGTTATAATCACATACTTGATTTCCCCAAATAATTAGGATTCAATAAACACACATGAGCTAGTCAGTAAGATCTAACGTATATTACAATCCCTTAGCTTCTCCATCATTTTTTTTTAAAGCTAAAAGCACATCAATTCTATTTCCTCTTTTATAAGCTTTTCCTCTCACAAAGGCTTGGAATGCAAGTTCTAGTCTGTAACTGAGACTTAAAAGCACTTCTAATAAATGAATACAAAATATTTTCATATCTAACTTAACAACAAAATTAATTTTTAATGCTACTAAATTCACAATCAGAATTTTCCCTGCTGCTGTGCCCAGTTATAGAGGAATCAATTAAAATCTATTCAGTATTAACAAGTTGCATTTGTGTTTATATCTTATCTACTTGGAGTAATTATTTTATTCTCACACAAAGACTATCCAATCAGTCACCTGGCAGCAATGTCACATATCCAGGTTGCAACTCCAGACCTGAAGCATCATTATAAATACAACAGCACAGAACAAAACTTCTGTTTCGTGTCTTTATGTAACTGCCATTCCGCTTGAGACTAAGACAAAGAAATGAATATGAATATACAGAGACCTACTATAGAAGTAAAAAAAATATTAGGGGCACTTTTAATTTCTAAAAACCAATACGCAGGGTATTCTTGTCAAGTTTACCCTTACCATGCTACACCTTGCAAATAATGGCTCCGTAGGACTTGTAGAAGAACTACTAACAAGTAAGTAGAATGAAAGCATAATCATATGCAATCTTAATCTAATTTTGTTCAAAACATCCAGTGCACAAAGATGTTATGTCCTGCAGCAAGCAGGACAACTTACTTCAGAGGATACTTCAATTTTCTTTTCTTTTCTCAACTACTTTTAGATGCATATGGAACTTGGAAAAATTTAATGACTGGATTTTCATCATGCAAATCATGGAACTGGAATCTGTTTCAATCACATGTATGTTTATAAGCATCCATAACCTAACACAAAACTTCAGTTTCTATATTATACATGACTTCTCCAGATAATAATTTTATTAGTAAATTGTGTCTAATGGTATAAAACGTGATCTGGATTTTAGGCATACTTCTATCCAGCAGACAAAATCTAGGAGAACTGCAGAGCTACCAAACCTGGTTAGAGTGAGGAAAGGACAGAACACTTTTCATTACTAATTAGTCTTTTCATAAGGCAGTTACTGACCCATCTCAGGGATATAAAAGTATGTGATACGGTGAAGCAACAGAGATCACAAAGTTGAGGTGGTGAGGAAGAGTGGGATTTATGCTGATGCAGATCAAACCTCAGTATATTGCAATAAGCTTAGAAATAATTTTTATTTTGAAATCCTTTCAGTTATTTTTAAATCCTTTCCAAATGAAACAGATGCAGACGTGAATCAATGGAAATGTGGAACACAGATACTGTGCGCTGTGCCCTGGAAGTCGGCTTTAGAAATTTGCCTACACTCACCTGCTGAGGTCAGAATAGTCACACATCATAGTAAATGTCACAAATACACGTGTGAATGTGCTACCAGTGTAACTTACCTACTTTCTGTTTACATTATATTCTTCTACCAACATAACTCTTGACAACAGTTACTGAATGCTTACCACTGTGCCCAGAAACTGAATGCTTGTCTCTCCGGAGGCATTCCGAGAAATCCGCTGAAAAACACAGATGTAAGAATTGATTAAAGCATCTCCAGAATTTGTAACTGTTCCATTTTGTGACATCACCATAATCAAAAATAATCGAATATCTATAAAACAGATAAAATAATTTCCTTCAACAGAAGTGCTAGAAACCTAAATCATACTTCCTCTCAGATTTTGGTTTTAGTTCAGTCAACTCAATAAAATTTATTTTTGAAGAACAATGAAAGCAAATATGTCCACATACAACACAGCAAAACCTTGGGTTCAAATGCCCTGAATAATGAGGCTTCTGCCATCTCCAAATGTCTGTAATTCTGCATTCCTGTTACTCACATTTAGTATTATCTTCATTCCCTCCTAATGAGACACATTTTAATCTCTTTTTAAAATGCAAACCTCCAATGATGCTACTTTGAAAACAGAAAAAAAAAATGACCTTAAGAAATGTCTGGTCACCTACTGTGGTTCAAGAGTTGATTGAAGTTATTAAACGGTCTTCAAATATTACATTGTCAGTAAGCCACAAGACAATGCAAGAGAAAATATGTTACTGATTTCACACAGCATTAAACATAATTTAAATATGCAAAATGTATAAAGAATTCCTTCTGTCTGTGAATTGTTCCCTCCTTCAATGTAAAAAGTGGGGTTTTTTTTCAATTTTCTTCCCACTGTTTAAACTACAGCACATATAGTTCTTAGTCATGGAACACAGCCCTAATCTTACACAATGCCAGGCACACATGCAAGTACCAAAGCACAGATCTGAGAAGAGTATAACTGCAAACAAAGAGCTGCACAGAAATCTTCAGTGTTTTAAAGACAACAAATCATAAGAGCAGGGCTGCAAATAATCTTGAAAGATCGTCTAGCCTAGGACCCCCAGCAGAAGCAAAACAACCAGTGTCACTGCCAAATGATATGTGTCTAACCCATTTATAAAATCTTTCAATTGCAGAGATTTCACAGTCTCCCTAAGCAATTTATCCCAGTGTTCCTGCATGTTTACCATTAGGAAGTTTTTTCCTAATAGTTGGCTAAAATAACTCTTACTTCAACTTTATTACACACATTAATTCTCCTCTTTTTCATCACAGATGGGAAACACGGATTATTCCCTTCCTCTTTACAGCTACTTACAGGTATATGAAGAGTCATTATCATGGCTCCCTTAACTCGTCTTTGCTAGACCAAATGAGAAAGTGCTAGCAATACAACAATAGCTAGATATCCCCCAAAACAATTTTAAGAGCAATAAATTAAATTCTGGTCCCTTTTCACTAATGGTGCAGGTTCCTCAGCTACACTTTAAGAAGTAATAATTACTATAGCCCAAACATGCTTATTTTTTGACTTAATAGGTCACACACCGACATTGCAATCTGTACAATCATATGAAAACAAAGGGTGATGTGCCAAAGCCTGACATATTTCAACAATAATGATTAATGGAATGGAAAATATGGGAAATAAAATTTCATACAAAACCTGACGTTTACTTTTTATAAAGGAAACAGGAATATACACTTTTCCCACAGTCTAGGATAAACACAATCAGGTTTTGGAAACCACAAAGAAGAACAAAGTGTCGGCTGCCTACAATGAATGAACCGCATGCCAAAACAAACAAGTCCCAACCACTTGATAAGCTGTCAGAAAACGGCAAGCCGAAAAAAATTAAAGGATTTAATTTCTTTTTTTCCTGGAATGCCCTCCACCCTCGTTAGAGTTCTGTCACTTATTGTGCTACTCTTTTGTCCGCTTTCAAGGGTCATTAGAGACCTTTTCATGTCCTAATAAAAATTCCATTTTTTTTTGGCTAATCTCCCTGTCACACAGAAAAACACAACTTAAAAAACAAAACAAAACAACAAGAAAAATAGAGCCCTTTATTAATTTTCTTTAAAGGTTTTCAGAGTAAAGCCAGGTATCTGGACAACTCAACTTATTTTTTAAAACTGAAAAGCAAATCATTATAGTATTTCCTCACAGAGATTCCCTTTACTTACAACCAAATAAGCTAGCATTGCAATAGTCAAGCCCTTTCCAAAATAAATTAATAAATAATAATTAAATATATATATGTATATCACAAAGGCACCTTGTAAAGCTTCAGTCTCAGGACAAGACAAAGATAGGAGCAGTGTTCTTCCTGCTCTGGCATTGTTGGAGGACACTGGTATCACAGTATAGGAAATCCTCACTGCTACTGTTTGCTGTGCCCAAAATACAAAGCATTACATTCAGTTGTCAATTGCATTAAGAGTCAGTATAAATGCTAAAATCCATCTCTCAAATTAACATCCAGTGAGGGGAGGAAGAAATAATGGGGAAAGTGACAAAAATAGTTAACATAGAAAAATAAATTTCCCTTCTGGGTATATGTAAAAAACAAAAACAAGAAAGAAAGGTAGAGAAATTCTCCAAGTCACAAAACATATGTTATATCAAGACCAAAAAGAGAACTACCAGGCTTTTGAGAACTGTGCTACAAAAGAAGTCAGCACATTATCATAATTAATGTTTCAAATTACAGTTGTAAATAAATTTCAGCTATTATATGTGATTAGATTTTTTTTTTTAAACATATTGAAGAGTTATTTCTACTTCACTGGTTGGCTTGTGTTTCTGGGATTTGTAAATGTAATTAATGTTTTCAAGAAAATGAAAGGATGTGATTAACAATTTTTCTTTTATTTTCTGCCTCTTCAGAAAAAGGACCAGCCTCCAGTTTCTCTTGTAAAGTTAGATATATACATATTCTATACCTCATAATAGATGGTTTCATATTGCATGTGATAACAGGAAAGTAATCAAATAGAGGTAACAATAGAAAATAGCTAATTATACACATTGTCATTGCTTTCCTAATAAACTGCATATTATTTGCTCGAAGGTTTACAACCAAAAAGCAAGGGGAGTCTACCACTTGTTCAAAGACAAAACGTCACCTTGTGTTTACCTAACAATACTGTAAAAATTACATTCTTGACATAAATTCTGTGATTTTAGAAATAACCAATGCTTTTCTAGTCGATTCAACTGACAGAGCTTCAGACTAACTTAATTTCTATCATATGAGTTACAAGTGTATTTTTTTTCCTATGAGAAAGTAACTACCTAACTCAAACCTGGAAAAAAACACAACTTCAAAAAAATGATCTGCTGTCTCAAAGCTGTCAAACAGGTATGAGTGTTACATAAATATTATATGTATATTTACACACACACATTACAGTATGTTATACTGCATATGCCACGTATATACAAACAAAATCCTTATGCACACATGTAAAAACAGACAAGTGCATACCATCATATAAAATTTATTTGATTCTCCTTCTATATCTTGTGTATGCTATACCAGTTATTTTACAAATAACTATTTTAATCCGTAAATCCCAGTAAATTACCAGAGGTTAGTGTGATATGACTTTAAATTCTTCTGCTTTGCCATAGAAAATTACTTCCACTTAGTTGGGTATCAATGATCTATTCATCATAGGATGCAGTAGGGTTACAGTCAGCTTTGCCTTAAGCCTGCAGTAGCTGAGGACTTGCAGATAAAAGTGATAATAACCTTTACATGGAAAAGGATCAAGAAGCTCAGCTCAAAACATAAAATATGTATTACTGAAAAACGTTCTAAACTGACATAGACATTATTAGACAACAATAAGAACTTAGAATATTTTCCCACAAATCTGGTATCTCAGGCTCTCCAGGCTACTGGAAGTGAGCAGCTGCCAAGGAGGAATGATACAAAACCAAAGAAACTCCAGCAGACCAAAAGCAATTTTTCTTCCTTGTTTACAAATGGAAAAGTGATGTGTGAATTCAGAATGAATATGAGCTGGCAAAGGCAATCATATATATTTAAGTTTCTCATACTCATTCATCTTGAAAAAGTAAAGCCGGAGACCATTTTTTACAGAAAACCTACAGCTTGTCACTCAACATTTTTTGTAACTTTTTCATGCTATAGCATGACTACATTACTAGTTGGACAAGATGTAGCAAACTATACAGAACTAAAAACAAAATAAGCCCAGAAAATCTATAGATAGGCTGTAGTTAAAATTTTGAGTGAAACACGGGTAGTTTCCCAGCATGATGCTGTTTTTCAGAACGCAGAATTTCTTGCAACCCAGGCCTATTGCTTCATTTCAACTGCTTGCTAACAGAAATTCTGAACATCTTATGCCATGAATTTAAAATGGAGAATGCTATCCACTTTTTGGGCAGTACTTAGAAATACTTGAAAATTCAACCTAGCAAAACACAGGCTAGAATCATCCTCAGACAGGTTTCCTTAAAAAAACAAATTATTCCCATGATAGGGAAGTCAGTGGACAAAAGTCCACAGTATTTTACCTGTAAAGTTATAGCAGATTCATCTGCTAGTACTTATTCTATGAGAATTTGGGTACATGTGGGTGCTTGGACATCTGGAAAGCTCCATTTCCCCCCTAAGTCACTCTTAACTTTGGAGTCCCACAGTAGGGTCAGAGAGGAGGAGAAAGCCGCAGAAGTACCTGTGAAACCATTAAGTCATCCTCTCATCAAAAAGCAAGGATTGATTTGGTTTTATCACACTCCTTTTGCCTCTCCTTCTAGAACCTCTCCAGAATGCAGAAGTTCACTTCAGTACTTCCTCTCCACCATGCAAAAATTGCAGTCAAGGCATGTAATCCCAGACTAGCAATGTGACCAAGCTTTCTTGTATCATGTAGACTTTCTGCATTGCACTATTATGTTCAGACTTGTTCGGCCTCACAAGTCTTTCCACTTTGGGAATCACTTTACTTTTTCAGAAGTTAATGCATTTTGCACTGATGGTGCAGAAAGTTCTCCCCTTAGAGCATGAAACTACAGATAGGAAGTTAGCCCAACTTCATGCACTGCTCTAACCTTAGCCACTACCAGTTCCAGTTCACACTTCACAGTGAATAAAGCCTAAGCGAGTTGTTCTACCTCAGGGTATGTCCACATTTTCCAGGTTTTTACAA